CGCCTTCTCCATAAGTGCTCCTATCCTGCTTCGACGAGGACAGACACGAGGCTTTACCAGAGCTGCTCCTCCGCCGCCGCCAGGCGCAGATCCTTTAGTGGAGAACGGCTCCATCTCTTCACAGAGAAGCCTGAGCATCAGACAGCGCCCCTCTCCCTGCACAAACCCTCTGCCTCTTGGATCATCCAGCTTCTCATCAGGCAGATAAAAGCTCTGGTGGAACCCCCCCATGAGACGTCCCTTCGTTTCCTGAAGCGGAACCAGGACTGACGATCAAGAGGCGCCACCTGATTCCCAGGAGATCCCATGATGCCCCACACCTTCCAGCAGAAAAAAGGTGAGACGACTGCTTGGGTTCATCTGTGTAATTAGAAGTTAGAATGACAGTCTTTGCAGCAGTGGAGCAAGTGAATAGCATGACTTAGTGAACTAAGGTCGTTTGGATTCCATAACACCCAAATGTATTTTAACACATGCTCATTTTTTTTTTAAGGAATGCATTTTTCACGCAAATATGAACACATTTCTTTTCTTTTCCATCCGCTACTAGTTTGAGTTGATTGTTTTGTGAAATAATCAAAAGTATATCCTCACCGGACAGGTTTTGGTTCACAATTAGAGCCTCACACCTGAGCGGCAGTGAGCGGGAACCCGCCAACACCCTCGTTGATAAATCTGTACATTTCCATACAGCTTTTATGCTGTTCATCTAATCTCAGAGATGTAATCTCTACTCTCAATCCAAAGTTCAGTCACACTCACTGGCATGCAAAGCAACTCTGAAGGGACATACAGCAGGCACAAGTGTGATAAATCAACTGACATCTGATAAGCAAATAGGAAAGGCGTATCCGCTAAATAATAGCCCCATCGCTTTTATCTACTGTATTTAAAAAACATGTAAATAGGACTTTTTTTTTTTTTTTTTACGCCAACCAGGATGTGATATGAGCAATTTGAGAGAACTTTTTGATTCACTTTGGATTTTCATGTCGGCTTTACCTCACAAGCAGCTCCTGTCTGATGCACGGGGGACACTGAAAACAAAAGGTGAGTGGTTGAGATAAAAGACCTCTTCGTTTCACCATCAGACGACTTTACGAAAGACAAACTTAAAAGAATCTGGCGATTACTGTAAATGTTTAATGAACGATGTGACCCACGCTTTGGTTGGAAAAATTTTTTGTTTAAAATCAGCTTGTTCTACTTGTGGTCTAGAGTATGTGGAACTCTTTCAAAGTGCGGCGCCTATCAAAAGTGTCTCTCTCTCTCTGCATGATGAGGCACAGATACCAGTAATGTGAAGGTGCTGAACTTCCACCTGCCATTTCCTGGGCTGCGGAGATGTTTTTAATTAAAGCACAGAGGGATGCTGCGACTCTGAGGGAGACTGCAGTTCAATCAGAGAATCGCTTCATGGCAAAAGAAAAAGCAACTTAATGAGGCACGATGGTTAGTCAGGTTGAATTATCTCTGGCAAATATAAACCGTGGGAGGTTCTGCAGGACGCATAAAAAGAACTCTTTAAGTTTGTTTGCGATTTTTTAAAAAATTAGATGAATTAACAGCAAAGAATTGCATTTTTTCTTTCTTATTTTTGTTTGCAAATTAATTCAAATTCTAATACACTGGTAAAACATGATGCATATGTTTGCATATTTTTGAAAATGAAATGTTGAACTATCCCCTTTTGAATCCCTGTCTGCATGTATGCTGTTGTTTTCTATGTACTCATTTATTTATCTAGACTTCTGGTGCTGGGTTGAATTGCTTTCATCCCTCACCAGTTCCATGTTTCCTTGTTGGATTTAAATCCATTTACTGCGTTTGGCTGCAGGAAACCAGCAAAGGAGCTGACATGAAAATACACCTACATACCACAGGCAGTTGAGAAGGTTTCATGCTCAGGAGTCTTGTAGGAACCATGAGGGCAATAATAAAAAAACGGTTAATATTTTTGATAAAGTGTAGAGCTGACCTCTTGAGTCTGAGCATGAGGTGATTAAGAATGCAGATGAAAAATAAATTAGCAGCGCTCTGCACAGGATTGCATTCATATTTCAGGTTTTTTTTGCAATACGAAAAGGCAGCAGAGTGCACTGTTGCTGTTTTGTTGAACCGTGTCCTAGAGCTAGGTGTGTGCAGTTCCTGTTTAACCAGCCCCGTGGACCAGCCTCAGCAGCTGGCGTTCGGCTCAGCCAGCCACTCTGACCTGGCAGCAGAAGCTTTGTAATGTGGGGGGGAATTTGATATGGCTGAAATCAAAACTGGGCCACAGTATGACCGAGCATAGGGGGTAGATATGAGGAGGGGGGAAAAAATGAGCAAAGGGAGGAGCTGCAACTGGGAAAACGTGGAGGGATGTCAACAGACTGCCGGGAGAGCGTCTGAGTGGAGAGGAAATCTCTTCAGACTCTGAGAATATCAGCACATTTGCCACAGTCAGCGCAGAGACAAAGAATTCAAACCAGTCCAGCAGCTTTGAGTCCTAACCGTTCACATCCCCATCAACTTCAAGCCAGTGGAAGTTTCCACTGCTTCCGTGGAAATACACTCCAAAGGATACCTGTATTGTCTAAACAGTTTGAATGGTAAAGGAGAAATTTAAGTTTCTGGGTGAACAAACTTAACTTATATCCAGGCAGAACACTATGATTTAATGCCATTCACACAAATATACATGCATATAAATTGTATTTGATATCTGTAGTTGATATAATTACTTTATTTAAAAAATACTGTTCTGCGAAAAAAAAAAAAAAATTCTGACTATGGTATTAATTTATTATCACTTGGATTGTGATATTTCAAAAGAAATATTGGTGAAACACCAATTAAATATATAGTAGTATTTTTCATTTATTTTCTCCGGGAGCTAGCCTGCAGTCTGCTGCTTTACAGTTACCAAATGGGTTAGTATTTTAGAAGAAATGTAGTTGTATAACTGTTTTTCCTTGATATAACTGATGGGTGGTGCTCCTGTAGTTTCCCCACCACGACTGCTCGAGATATTCTGGAAATATTTCCAACAAGACAGGTTTGTTTTTTGTAAGCAAGAAAAGAAGCCTCTATTTAGGCAGATGACCTGTTTGTCATGTGGGCAGTTTCTCTGGCATCTTGTCAGAGGGCTTTCAGGCTGTCATTGCTGTGGGGAGGAAAATTTTAAGACTGTTCATCAGCAAATTTTTCAAAAGCTCTGTAATCCTTGATAGCGGTAATCTGCACATGCAAAGTAAGGGAAGAATTAGCCAGTATACATAAGAAAATATTGTAACAACGTTTTGGACTAAAATACCTGTAAGTGTTTTGGAGATCTTTCGTATTCTATAAAGTATTTATTTTAAGGTTAGGAATATGCACCCTTGCTGAAGATTTACTTCAGCAACTTTTTTAAAAACAAAAAACTAATATTTTCATTAATTATCACCACTTTTACTTGAATAAAATTTTGTCTAATCTAGTGAGTAACTTAACTAAACAAAGAAAAAGCCCAGTTTGACCTAAAATGAACTTTTATTTTGATGTTTTAATGTGACTCTTTCTTTTCATCGTAACTGGAGCCAGTTTACCCTGTTCTAGCATACAAACATTACATACTGTAAGAATTTCATGGTTTATGTTTTAAAAAAAAACTAGAGACACACAATATATTGGCATTAATATTAAAATTGGCCATTTTTAAACATATTGCATTGGTCTGATAAAATACAACTGATATTAATTTCCATCTAGTCTTTGTTTCAGAAGGGGAACAATAGAGTGATATGTGTTCGGTCATGTAACACTGATTGTGATGTAACTCCGGATTATGGGTGTTTAACTAAAGAAGAGAAGCTATAGCCTGGTTTCCATTAAAAATTATATACTTTTTTATATAATTTATCATAATAAAAAAAAAAAATCATTAAATGTGTTTCCATCCATTGGAGCGAATTAACCAGGCAACGCAGAGTGTAAAGTCGTCATATGTTTGTATTACATTAGGCCAGGGGTCTTCAATGTTTTCCAGGCCAAGGACCCCCAAACTGATGGTAAGATGGAGCGGGGACCCCCTAAATATATATATTGTATGACATTGTGTTCTATCAAACTGGTCCTATAGTCACTCTATAACAGATGGAGGAATGTAACTTCCTCCCTGGGATTAATAAAGTATTACTGATTCTGATTCCTGGTTGATGGGACAGGTGTTGTGAATGAAATGGTGCCCAGCTTGAAAGAGCTCCTGTGTGTCGCTGAATGTGTGCATTGATGACTGAAAGACATCTTCTGCCTCCATCTGTTGAATTCATGTTAATGTGGATTTAAAGACATTTCAATTAGTTGGAAAAATTTCAGGGGGAAAAAAAAAAAAAAAGTCTAATCAACCAAAACTTTTGTGACACCCATGCAGCACCTCTATGGACCCCCTGTTGAAGACCTCTGCAATAGGCTGTATTAAACAGGAAGTACAGGTAGTAAGCTGGCATGAACCACAGATCAGTAATGGATTGGGATTTTCATGAAGGTGTTGTAATTATTTGTGCTAACTTTATAACATCAGCTAGCATTAGTGCTGTTATGTAGCATCCAGAGACGCAGAGATAGAAGGGCGCGATACTAATGAGACGCCAGCAATGTAAACAGCTGATTGATCATGTCACCTAAATATTCGCTACCTTATAACTAATTCAAGAAATGTGTGGCCATCTTCTCTTATGCACACAAACTTTTTCTCAAAAGATAATAAAAACGCTCTAGTGATCGTACAAACTTTTTTTTTGTGAAATTGAATAAATTAAGAGTTTAGCTGTTTCCATTAAGCTCTTTTATTGCAATACTTTGAGATGAATGCGCATCCACAAACCTTGATGGAAACACATCTAATGTCAGCAATGAGGTTGGGTTTTCATGGTGTTCAAAGGGTAGATCTAAAGATATGGTATATTATGTTATCGGCCATCACACCGATATTAATATCGGATATCGATATCGGCCCCGATTTTATTTATCGGAGAATCCCTATTTTCTTTTTTTTAGCCTTTAAAACAAAATGAATTTGAACATAACTTAATATTATGGTCTGTGTGATTACATAGTCTTAAATAGAAATTCAGTTACTCATTGCTTGATTAACCTCTTTACCAAATGCTTTTTACTTAAGGCATTTCTGGAAGGCCAAGTTTTACTTTTAGTCTAGTAGAAACTATGTTGAAGTATTTCTACTTTCACTTGAATACAATTGTTTTGGTACTTTACCCACCTCTGGAACCTTGAGGAGTTTCCTCTGCTGTGACTCTATGTCAGTAAGAGAAGAAATGTTGTTATTCCAGAAAGGTTTCCACTACACAGCCAGCCGATCGCCGTCCACAGCTTGACACTAACTGGTGGATGTTTTAACAGCGAAAGTTTGGGGGGGGAGTGATTCAGGCACATGGTTCTTATTGGATCTTTATCGAGGGTGGTGCAGAGTAATAAGACCCACTTGTTTACTATCTGAAAGCCTTTTCACACCGTCTTGTGAAGCAGCGAACACCTCTGTCAAGATACGTTGGCAGAGCTTTGAATATAACCTGCACAGAAGCTGTCCCGAATTTCAGAAATCCTATGCTCCCGGGCCTTCAGAAGTGGTGCACTTTGGCACCCCCCCGCCCCCTCCACCCTAGGAGCATGTAAAAGAACAGAGCAAATACAGACAGAGATTGTAAAGATTTAATGATGGCAGCAATGGTTTTACCGGCTCACTCTTTCATCTCTGCTTTTGTCGGAGGAATCTGACCCATCATCCAGCAGATGGCATACTGGCAGGAAGTTGACCCAAGTATGCGTGGAAAATTCCATCAGGTTTGGCTTTGCAGGCTGCATTCCTGGCTCTTCTCTGCTCATCTAGCTTTGAGGAAAAACAATCTTTAATATACATAATTTGGATTCGATTGAAATTGTAAATTCCGGCTGAGCGACGGTGACATACACCTCGGCCGTAAATATGCTCCTGGTATGTTGTTTTCACGCGTCAACAAACCTGTAGTTTCAAGGCAATGTAGCCAAGCACTGCAGAAACCAAGTGCAAACTTACTTTCCAATGAACAAATAAACACTTGCTGTGCAAAATTTTCTAAAGAAAAAAATCTGAAAAATGCATGCAAGACTGAAGGATAAAATCCAGAACGAGGAACTCTTAAAAAATTCCTGAGGGTGAGAATCGAAGCAAGATCTTGCCTGCAAATTTCAGAGATGCCGACACTCTTTATGTTTGTGTTTAACCTTGTCAGGTGGGATGAAAGACAGCTTTCAACCTGCAGACACACAGCAGCTTTGTTGCAGGGAGGATGATTTTGTGTCTGAATATAACTCGTCTTAATTTAAAAAAAAAGCTCAAGAAAAACCTCCAAAAAATTCACTCCTCTTCACAAAATCCTTTGAGGCAACTTTTTTCCCTTCCAAATCTTATTCACTTATTATCTAAATTTCTTAACCTATTTCTTTTTTCCTTCTCAAATGATGGATGCCATACAGTAAGTTAAAAGGTGACGACTTTAAACAGACGATCATGGTTAACATAGGAATGCAAATCTTTTTGTTGGCAATGCTGTGATGGTTTCAACGCATCCGGTGTGCGGCCTTGATGCTGCTTAACAAAGAGAAGAAGAAATGTGAAGGAACGCAATCAGAGGGGAAAAAGGGAAACAAGAAGCGGGGGGGGGGGGGGGGGGAGCTTCTGGGATGCATGGAGTTAAAAAAAAGTGAAACTTAACAATATGAAAAGAAAATCTTTTAAAGAAAGGAACTAAAAAGACCTCTGTAGCTAACAGCATTATCTGTTTGGTGTTACAGCGCGGTTGCATCATGCCTCTCAGAACAAAACTCTGCACTCATCTTTGCTGACAATGAACACTGAAGTTGGCAGAAATTTGCTGTGAAACGAGACAAAAAGTGTGCAGTTTATGAAGAGAAGATGAGGGAGGGGGGGGTGGAAAGTGAGGCAACCTCCGGGCCTCAGGCTTTTGTCAGTGGGCACTTCTATTCACTGACCTATGGTGCACCGACTGTATAGGCAATGATATGGCAGAGACAGGATTCAAACCTTTTTTCTTTTCATTCTTTTTTATTAAATGCGCAGTGGTTAAACTGGATTGGGATTGTTTCTGTAACAAAGAAACCAACGTTTAATTATACAGCCTGAATGGAGATCAGGAGGATTAAGCTGTGCACAGCCTTCAGTGTGATAAGGTAGCCTGAGTCGTTTCAGACGGGGTCATATTGATCAGCTCCCTCTCTAAGTGGGTCACTTTTTTTGAAGAAATTGGTTAAATAAAAGTTTGCCACGGATTTGTGGTAATTATCTCCTCCCTTTATAGCAGGGGCACAGCATGAGGCCTTAGTAAATTACACATCTCCCTCTTAACTCCTGGATGGTTTATGGCCGTGCATTATGCATAAAACTGTGCTGGAGCGCCTTAAACATCCCCCAAGTGGGTTGGAATAAAGTTGACGCTGCTCTTTGTTTGGAGCTCAATACTGTCTTTATTTGGCAGTGCTGAAAAGGAGATTGCAGTAAAGGCGTTCGTCTTAATTATTTCAGAGACACCCACCCCCCCAGTCTGGTTTGTGAACACCTGAAGTGTTTTTTAGAGGGATTCCGGCTGCAGACGGGCACATGCAATCCGCTGGGAAATGTCACACTTGCTGAAGCGGCGGTTGGGAGGGGGCTAAGATCCCACCAAACCTACGGAAAGATGAGGAAAGTGAATTTGTTGAAATCTCCTCCAAACTATAAAAAAAATTCCAATGTTAAAAAAAGATTTCTTCTAAAAGCAATTTAAAGACTCTTTTGAAAAGTAAAAAAAAAATGTACTCATGGCTGGTATTAAACTCTTTAAAAAAAAGTTACATCTTATCGCTTCTACAGTTCAAAGTCCTTTTAATGAAACCTCAGCAAAACAGCCAGAGTGAACGGAGTTTACGTGCCTGTATACAGAGCATAAAAATAGAGCAAGCTCTACAAACCTCTCCCTGCACACTGGAGGCCAGCTGGCTCAAAATAAGGCCACCTACACTTTTCCCCCCCAGCCAAGCAGAAAGACAACAGAGAAAAAGGAGAAAAGCAATAAAAGAAAACAATGTTACTTTCTTTAGCTTTAAAATTTGACTTTTTCATCATAAAGCTAAAATAATAAAGGCATTTGCAACATCCTATTTAATTTACCAGGCTTTCATTTATATATATTGTTAAGAGGAAAAATATTAGTTGCATTTAAATATTTCAGTAAATGCTTTTTACTTTACAGATATTTTATAAAAGATTTATAGTAAGAAACTCTACCATCATATATGATTACATTATTCTGAACCGATGCTGGCCACCATCTAACTTATTCATATCAAATAAGTGCAGTTTTTAAAGGGGTAAAAGATGCATTTGTGATAATTAAGCAAGTGTGATCTTTTAGGGTTTGTTTTAAAAGAATTCCTGAAATGATTAAGTTCATTTTTATTTCTCATTCCATAGCCCAGCAAATGCTCCTCCTTTGCCAAGGAGTGAACGGAATGAGAAAAGAAGGAGAATCCATGGTTTGGAATCACCACAAACAAGGCTTCCAAGGTGAGTCACTGCAGTAAGTGTGTGCCCACATGTCGAGAAATGAATGCAACTCTGAGAGGGCTGCCTGTTTGCATCTCGTAATCGAGATTCAGAGGCTTGCCTATCAAGCCTGTAAACGACGCACAACTTCACACCAGTCCTCCCTTCCACATGCAGGGATGAAACAAAAACCACAGAGTCCTCGATGCCAGTGCCTGGATGGTGACACTTTCAGACAAGAAATGAAACCAACAAAACACCACAAAGCTGCAAAAGAAAGAAAACAAATAGATTGGGGGGGAAATTACGGTTTATTCTGATGCCACATGTCTTAAAAAAAAGAAAAAGAAAGAAAAAAACAATACATGCACTTCTTATTTTTTGTATTTCTTCTGAACTTTCACATCAATCTGATCAGATAAACTGAAGTCAGAACAAATTGAGCAACTAGAGGTTTAAGCACCAAAAGTATACACTCTTGACCTTGACATTACATTCTTTTTACAATGTCTACAACATGTCCCACAGCATTTTAAACATTAACTGATTTATAGCTTGGAGTTGAACGCATGCACTCCTCTGGGGTCCCATACTTAAAGTTTTTTACTGCAATGCCTTCACAGAAATAAAATAATCTTACTTTTTTTGTTTTTCTTGTATTTTAAATGCACGCCTTTTGTGCAAATAGCCTAAAGCTCTAGGAAAAAACAAAACAAAAAACTAAGTCACCTAAAGATCGTTACAAAACAGTTATACGCGTATGAGAATAAATAACAATAAAATAAATTGAAATAAAACAGAGCTAAAGTGGCAGTTCAAACCGTGCGCTGAGAGAAATAAATAAAATAAAAACAGAATTCCATCCGAATGCTCAATACCTTAGAGGAAAAGTAAATCCCCCCCCAACCCCTCCAGCCTTCCCCACCGACGGCATGAAGTTAACATACCCGCAGGGAAATGCGCCTACAAAATGATCAGAGCCCAAAGCAAGACAGTGAGACCGACCTGTCCGCATGGACCTAATTTAGAAGTCTGTCTCTGCGAAGCTCATGTATGGACTGTATGTGTGTTAAATGCGACGGGAGGCAGCGGCACCGCGCGCCGTTTAAGTCACAGAATATAAATTAGTTCTGAGAATTTCGGGGGCTGGTTTTCTGAAGACAGTGACGTCGCCAGCTCTCCGTCCTGTGACTGTCCGGGTCGAACCAAAAGCAGGGGGATCTTGCTCCCAGAGCAGCTTTTGACTTCGTTATTTTCGTTAACTATACACATTTTATCGCTCCTTTGAACGTTTAAAGTGATATGTTTTTATTTTAAAAACACCCAGGCGCCGTTCACGCCTGAAACAGCGCTTTAGAAGGTGTTCGATTTAAAAACTTTAGAAGGAGGCGTCTCTCCCCTGCGCCGGCAGAGTGGTACGGTATCAGGCTCAAATTCCGAGAATTGTGCTCCTCTGATTCTTAGAACAGGGGTTCTTAGAAGTGGTGATGCAAGAAGTTTCTAGGAAAGCGCTACCAGGTGATTTTTTTAAATTCCATTTTTTCCTTTAATTTGGCGCGAAGCTTTTTTATCTGTTGTGTTGCTTGTCTATATTTTAGGACGTTTTGTTATTTTTGTTTGTATGTCTGCTTGGGTGTTTTTGTTGAAGCCGGCCCGGGCTGCGAATGTCAGAGAGTGAAGAGTCGAAACTCCGGAGACGGAGAGGAGAAGGAGGCTCCTGCTGCTGCTGACAGCCGGAGCGCCGCCTCCCTCTCTCTGCGTCTCTGACAGCCCGGCTGCCTCCGCGCGGAGCCGGCCGGAGGAGCGCAGTTTCGAACGGTTAACGGCTGTAACAGTCGGTCCTGCTGTGTAGCGGAGTAATAACGCTCCGGTTGCACCGAGGGAGAGATGGAGGAGGTGGAGGGGGGGTATGGGAGCGCTGAGTTCGGCTCGCAGCCCACGGTGCCTCGGAGTGTCAGTGATTAAATGCCCACTTTGTTCCGTTCAAGTGTCAAAACACGAGAGGGACGACAAGCAAGCGCGCGCGCGTTGTCACGCCAACCCTACAGACAGCGTGGCAACCGCACATTCGCCTTATATTTATAATGTATATATTTTTTAGTTTTTTTAGTCAGCAGCAGCCGCGGTAATTTGCTCTAATGGAGCGCAAAGAGCTGCCCAGAACAAACCCCTCCAGTTACCGTAATAACACAGCAGCGGAAATGTTACTGTTGAGGGGTGTGCGTGTTTTTTCCGCGGTAGAAGCTACAAGTTGTCTCTTTATTTATTTTTTTCCACTGTGACAGCGCGCTGTTTGACAAGTTTAAGGTGCCACACAGAAAGCTTTACACGCAGAGACCCTCAGTTTCGTTTACTGGCTCTGTACTTTTGCTGGATAAAACGAGAATCATGGCGAAAGTAAAAAAAAAAAAAAAAAGTTTGCTGACTAAAATGTGCACTATTTAAATTTTACCGACAGCCTAATTGTGCGTGTTCACAGACTAGTTAAAGTGTGTTCTTATTTTATCCATTGGTCAGTGCGAGCTGCGCTGCTTCTATTTTCGTACGGCTCCAGTTACTCGCTTCATTTCTGACACCTGCCTTAATGACACCGCTGTGCTTCAAAGTTAGTTTAGTTTCTACTAGTTTTCACTTTGATGAAGACATTGACCCTGAAATACCCTAAAGGCACTTTGAGCGAACTTCACACCATCAACAAACTGATGCTGTTTCACACTTGCCACCTGCAGCGCCTCATTTCATCCTCGTCATGGTGTTGACATCTCGCGGTTTAAATCGAAATATGTATATTTTGTGTGTGTTTGTGTGTCCAGAGGCTAAAAAAGGATTCAAATTGATCATATAGTTTGAACAACACTGAAAACGTTCGCTGCGTTTTATCTTAAGTAGTGATCGCTTGGTTCGGTTTTTATTTAGTTAGGCTTAAGTTCTACATTTCTATAAAAAAAATGTCAATTTTCGTTTTACTAAATGTACTTTGTAATTTTGCTGCGATTTATCTTGTGATTTGATCTATCTTGAAGTGTACTGTGAAGTTTTCAGTGTTTCCCGGGAGAAAGTGAGCAGGAGAGAAATGATTCAAAGATCAGAAATTAAAATGTGTGATTGTTGTTTTAATAAATGGCGCCGCCTTCTGGTGACAGCGTATTATTTTTTTTTTTTATGGGATGTTGAATAACGAATACAGCTCACTTACCCTGGATCAGATTCCTAGAGTCTGGTACATAGTAAACAGAACTTGCTGATTTATTTTCTTCTTTTTTTCCTGTTGGCAGAACTTGAAAAAATGGCTTGCGCAGCAGACAGCTGCATACAGTTTACGCGTCATGCCAGTGATGTCCTCCTCAATCTGAACCGGCTGCGCAGCAGGGACATCCTCACAGATGTTACCATCCTGGTCAACAGGCAGCAGTTTCGTGCACATAAGACTGTTCTCATGGCTTGCAGGTGTGCAAATTTGTTCTTGCATTTTAGAGCACATATTTCCATTACGATGTTAGTCTAAACTAACCCTATCTCTACATCATTTTTGTTTGCAGTGGGCTGTTTTACACTATCTTCACTGACTCCCACAAGTGCAATCTTAATGCCATCAGTCTGGACCCGAAGGTGGACCCAGAGGGCTTTGCCATCTTGCTGGAGTTCATGTACACTTCCCGACTCACACTAAAGGAAAGTCTCATCATGTCAATCATGAATACAGCCATCTATTTGCAGATGGACCACGTCGTGGACACTTGCCACAGATTTATCAAATCCAGGTCGGTAGAACCAACTGCCATGACATTTTTGTGTATATCCGTGGATTATCAGTGTCTGTGTGCTCATAACCCTCTCATTCCCTGCACAGCGATCCGTCTGCCAAGCTGCCCAGAGATGAGTTTTTGGTCAGTCCATTGGTTTTGCCGCAGGACGTCCATGCTTACCGCCCACACGATGTTGTTGACAGTTTGCACAGCCGCCTGGGTCCGTTCAGGGACGGAAGGCCCTATGCCACAAACATGTTCAGCAGCGTCAGCAGCCCCAGTAACTACCACCTCTATGGGCAGTTTCCCATGCCGGGATTCCCGTTCCCGCTCTGCAAGCTGACTGATACCAAAAATGCTTTTGCTGACCTTTCAAAGAGTGGGATTCACCACAAACACTGTCCTCCACACGACGGCACCAACGGTCTCAGGGCGGACTACGCCAGGGCGCTCAGCACCGGCTCCTCTGGTATTATTCACTCTACTACCTTCGCTTCCAGGGAGATGGGGAGAGACGACGAGATGAGGAAGGAGGGCCACGAGAGCCAGCCCATCGGGTTCAGCTCAAGGAAACGTGCATTCCCCGTGCTAAACCTTGAGCACCAGAAAGACTTGAGCAAAGAGCACGCTTCTCAGGCGGAGGACGACCTCATCCATCAGCACTATACTTTGGGAATCTCCTCCACTGGACGCAAGAGCCTCATGAGCAGCCCCCAAAGCCCCCTAAAATCAGACTGTCAGCCCAACTCACCAACAGAGTCCAGCAGTAGCAAGAATGCCAGCCTATCCCACATTGGTGGAGGGCAAGGAGCGCAGGGTACGCCGGACCCCAAGGCTCGCAACTGGAAGAAGTACAAGTTCATTGTGCTGAACCAGAGTGTGAAAGAGGACGAGGCGGGGCTTCGCTCTCCTCAGCGCCTAGGCATGCAGTCCTATATTCACCCAGGTGACTCTGAGAGCCTTGATGCTCAAACCACCAGTAAGAGCAGCGATCACAGCGAGGACCTACCTGTTCCACAGGCCAGCCGTCTCAACAACATCATCAACAGGTGAGAGCCTCTAAGATGAAAGAACGTTGGTTCTGTTTAAAGAACAATGTTTTCTATCCTCTAAATGATGGTGGAAGGCTGAGTGTATGTCTTTGCATTTACTTTCCAGTGCGCTCGAGGGCTCATTAAGGAACGGTGACAGCCACGCTTCCCACTACCTGAACCGCCTCAGCTGCTCCACCTGCGGTTCCCAGTCCCCCCAGCACTCCAGCGTCTGTCCCAACAACCCCAGGTCCCGCCTGTCCGAAGAAATGGCCGAGCTTCACTCTGAGTATTCCGACTCCAGCTGTGGTGAGTTCAGTTTTTCTCATGGTGTTAGAAACGGTCATGCCTGGAAACCGACCACCTCTGACCTCTCCAATTCCTCCACCACCAGAAAACGGTACGTTCTTCTGTAACGAGTGTGACTCCAAGTTTGCCGACGACGAATCTCTGAAGCAGCACATGCTTCAAGTCCACAGCGACAAGCCATACAAGTGTGACCGCTGTCAGGCAGCTTTCCGATACAAGGGCAACCTAGCCAGTCACAAGACCGTCCACACAGGTAAATAACCTAAAAACATCTCTTGCCCTAATATTATGTGAACTATTGTTGTCGAGGTCTAAACCAACTTCACCCTGTTTTTCAGGAGAGAAGCCGTACCGCTGTAATATCTGTGGTGCTCAGTTTAACAGACCAGCTAACCTCAAAACTCACACCCGCATCCACTCAGGAGAGAAGCCATACAAATGTGAGACGTGCGGAGCTCGTTTTGTACAGGTAACTTTCAGCCCTCATCCACAGCTAAGGCATTCTGCCTCTCGTCAGCATGGGCTTCAAAAAGCCATCTCTTTGTGTCTCAGGTCGCTCATCTTCGTGCCCACGTACTGATCCACACCGGGGAGAAGCCATACCCGTGCGAGATCTGCGGAACGCGCTTCCGTCACCTGCAGACTCTGAAGAGCCACCTGCGCATCCACACGGGAGAGAAGCCCTACCATGTAGGTTAAACTCATCATATCCCGCATCAGTCAACGAGTTTTACTCCTCAGAATAAGTTTCCTTACTAAAGTGTGTCAATTTCTTCTGTTCAGTGTGAAAAATGCAACTTGCACTTCCGCCACAAGAGCCAGCTGCGACTGCATCTGCGACAGAAGCACGGCGCCATCACGAACACCAAGATCCAGTACCGCATGTCCACTGCGGAAATGCCAACCGACCTGACTAAGGCATGCTAAGCTAAGCTACGCTCAAAGAGCAAAACCGTCACCTTGGATCCTGGAATTTAATGACCACCCCCCCTCTTTTTTCAAACGTGTACAATCATCCAA